CAAATCGAAGCACTATCAGAGAGCAAAATTTGTGGCACAGTGCCAAAAGTGAACGATAGTAAAATTCTTAATGAACTGAAAGATAGAGGCGTCAGTTTGTCTGATTTGGGTTCTTCTGATCGTGAGATTGGTCTGCTTTTGGGAGCGGATATTGTCGGCGCTTTATTTACTAATAAATCTGTTCGGTTGGAGTCAGGGTTATTTTTGATTGACACTTGTTTGGGACATGTGTTAACTGGGAAGCATGAGTCATTTGGAGATAGCAATGATGATACTGTTTTGAATGCAATTTCGTTGTATGTTAGTAATTATTCGATAAAAGATTTTGAAGAATTTAGAATCTACAGGTATTTCAGATCCCATTGAAAATAATAGAAAGAATTTAGAACATTCTAGAGTTTTGGAAGAGTTTAAAAATAATGTGAAAATTCTTTCAGACGGTAGATATGAACTTTGTTTACCTTTTAAATCTGATGATGTGGCCGATTTGCCGACAAATAAAGATTTAACTTGGAAGCGGCATAAAAGGATGTGCCAGCGAGCACAAGATAAAGCATTTTTAGAAGAATATACTACGATTTTCCGGGAATGGGAAAAATTGGATATAATTGAAAAGGTGATTGATAATATTGAGACGGTACATTTTTTCCTAATCGGCCAGTAATTAAGGACAGTACCACTACAAAAATCAGAGCTGTCTTTGACGCGTTAGCACGAGAAAGTGGTAAAGCTCTTAGAGATTTCTTGCGGTTTTTTTATCCGTCCGAGAGTGAACAGATTGTTTACCGGCATCGCAGAGTAGTATTTGGGTTAAAGTCGAGTCCATTTTTATTAGCAGCTTCAATTACACATTTATTAGATAAAGTACCATCTGAATTTGATGCTATAGTACAAAAAACTGAAACATTATTTTTATGTCGACAATTGTGTTTCTGGTGTTGCAAATATTGAGGAGCAGGAAGATTTTATTGTAAATGCAAAGATATTTTGTCAAGGTTGCTTTAACATTATTTTGTTTTGTTGTTTTTAATTTAAGAAACTGGGAGAGTAATGTAAAATGTAAGTATGTTTCTAATAGTACTGGTGTCACGAAAGTATTGGGAATTTTGTGGGATCTTGATAAGGACACTCTTAAGTGTAATTTAAACTTTAATCTTGTAAGTGAAGATCAGAATTTTACTAAGAGAATCATTTTAGCTACAGTTCACACAAAATATTTGATCCAATAGGTCTGTTGAGTCCTGCAATCTTACCACCTAAGCTTTTATTGCAGGAAACGTGGAATTTAAATCTAAAGTGGGATACTCCCTTACCAGATAATATTCAAATGTCCTTTAAAAGATGGTTTAGAGAAATAGATTCATTAAGAGATATCGAAATCTCACGTTATGTTGAAATAAATGATTCCACTGAGATGCATGTTTTCGTAGATGCGTGCAAAGAGGCATATGCCACCTGTTTTTTTTTTTTCGAACGAGAACCTCTCAAGGGGTAAAAATTTACTTTGTTAGAGCAAAAAACCAGAGTTGCACCTTTGAAGAAAGTAACGATCCCTAGGTTAGAGTTAATGGCTTGCTGCATTGGTGCCAGGTTGGCATATTCAGTGAAGCAGGCTTTAAATGCCCATGAGATTAAAACAAATATTTTGGAGCGACTCTAGGGTAGCTTTATACTGGTTAAAAGAACGTGGTGATTGGACAGTTTTTGTCTCGAACAGAGTAAAAGAAATAAATAATCTGTTTCCTAATAATGAATGGCGACATGTGCCAGGGAAAATGAATCCCGCTGATCTGATTTCGCGAGGGTGTTCCCCTAAGAAATTGTTAGAATCCTGCTGGTGGAAAGGCCCGGCATGGTTGTTGCAAGCAAGAGACAACTGGCCTGACACCGAAATATTGATAACGGAAACACCCGAAATAACACTTGAAAGGAGAAAGGTTAGGTTATGTAATATTAATTTGTCGGAAGAGAGAGTCCCGTGGTATGCCATTAAATTCTCAAATTTCCATTCAATAGTTAGAATGGTTGCATGGATATTGAGATTTATCAGTAATGTAAGATCGCGTCATGATACTAGACGGGGGGGGAGAACTTCTAACGCAGGAGATTGAAAATGCTGAAATTCTGCTTATTCGTAATGTGCAAGCTCAATTTTTTCCTAGTGAAACCTCTCTATTCGGAACTTGTGTGTTTTCAAAGATGTGAACGGAATTATCAGAGTTAAAACTCGAATTACTGAACGCATAGATAAGCCTTTCTTCATTTCACCTATTCTTCTTCCTGATAAATGTATCTTTACTCAAAGACTGATTGAATATTTTCACCGAGAAAACTGTCATGCTGGAACCCAGATATTACTAAGCATATTGCGTGAAAAGTACTGGATTACAAGAGGAAGAAGAGCGATACGTAGTGTTCTGAAGGACTGTATTAAATGTCGACGATACAAAACTAAATCTCTCATCACTGAACCAGTTTCCTTACCTGCTGATAGAGTGGAAAATGCAGCAGCTTTCGAAGTAGTTGGTATTGACTTGGCTGGTCCCCTATTTGTAAAACGTGGGGACAAAGTATGGATGGTTCTCTACACGTGTGCTCTTTATAGAGCAATTCATTTAGAGTTAATAACATCGCTTTCCACTGATGCTTTTCTGTTATCATTTAGACGTTTTGTTGCTAGAAGAGGAAGACCTAGAGTGGTTTATACAGACAACGGGTACAAACTTTAGGGAAGGACAACGGGGAGCTTATAATAATTTGTTAGAAATTGATTGGAGTAAAATAACTCGACAAACAGAAATACAGAAGATCGAATGGAAATTCATTCCCCCCCACTGCTGCCTGGTGGGAAAGACTTGTTCGAGTAGTCAAAGAACTCCTTAGGAGAACATTGGGCAGAGCTGTTCTTACCTATGAAGAACTGGAAACAGTTATGTGCGAATGTGAAAGGGTAGTAAATTCGCGACCCTTGACATATTTATCCGAAGATACAGAAGACTTAGTTTCACTTACACCTGCCATGTTTTCTGACCGATAGATCCAATTTAGATGTAACTGATATAGACACAGTAGACACCAATCATCTCAGGAAAAGAATCAGATTTCGTGCAAAATTAATGGAAGATCTCCGAGTACGTTTTCGAAAGGAATATTTAGGACTACTTATTCAGAAACGACAGCAAAATTCACACTTTCCAAATATTCGAGTGAATGACGTTGTGTTGATAGGAGATGATATCAAAAAGAGATTGAATTGGCCTTTAGCCAGGGTTACGGAACTGATTCCAGGAAAGGACGGTAAAGTGAGAACAGTTAGATTAAGAACGCAAACTAACAATTTAGTACGTCCGATACAACGAGTGTTTCCCCTAGAAATCCAAGATGATGATTTGTCAGGTTCATGTCATCCAAGTGATCCTCAAAAACATCAATCTGCTGTAAAGTCTTCAGATTCTCATTGTGGAGACGACATGAGTACCTCTCATCATTCAGAAATTTCTGGGTCACCCCGATCTCCGGACCCCACTGATGTTTCCGATGTATGTGACAGTTCTAAGACTATAATCATTTCTAAGACCATTTTATTTATTTAATTTTTGCTTCTATATAGTTGCAGGAAAGTAAGAAAAAATACTTATGACTGAATATTAAAACTACATTTGTTGTAGATTAGCGCACAACAAGAATATTTAAATACAAAGTCAACATATTTGCTTGTGTATCATCACAAAATACAGTAAATTATCCTGGTAGAAAAATCCTTCTGAATAAAATACTATGCTATTACAGCTAAAAGGTACTGCTTCACATCATGAAAGCTACATGTAGCTATCATGTCCTAATGCAAGAATAAAAAACATATCATTGATGACATATACACTGCTAATATTTTCATATCCGCATTTGAAACATTAAAACAAAATTTTTTTCTCTCTAAGCTATGCTTCTAAATCATTAGTTGCGACTACTCTTTCAGATCTTACGAAAACAAACTTACAATACTCATATTGTAAGGTCTAACCTTCATTTCTATCATACAGTTAGGGTTTTCTAAAATTTATTTTTTAATCAAATGGCAGGTACTCGCCTTTTTTCAGCATTGGCCACTCCTACGGCCAGAAGTGGTGGCCATTTCATTGTGGAGGCACCTAACAGGCGGTCACCATTACCGCCTACGAGGGGGCACACAATTTACATCCATGCCTTCTCTGAGATTAGAACCCAAGCCCTTCGGTATCGCAGTCGCGTCCCCTAACTACTATACCATCTAGGCGACCATACAGTTAAAATGATCTTACGAGGAAATCTGGTGACTTCTCACACAGGTGTGAATAATACCAGGGCAGATGAAGGGTACAACAAACCCTTTATTATTCGTCAAACTCTTCACACAAATGCACATACTTCATGCTTACAATAACACCGACTACTTGCAGTGGGAAATTAAGAATAATTTAACAATAACTTGAAAGATGAGTAGCAGTGCTGGAATAACAATTTATTTTAAGGCTAACTAGGCTGACTCAACAACCTACCCAGCAATACACTTATTAAATGGCCAAAAGGCGTATCAGCAGCAAAGACACAATTGCACACTGCACTGGGTAGCGAAATCACGCTCTGAATAAACTACAAGTTTCATCTGTTTTTATACTCTCTTTACTTAAATTTAAATTTGCATCCTTGCGAGGTAATTCGAGGGGAAATGACAGGTTCAGGAAAGCTACCAAACTTAAAATAATTTGTTATGCAAATTAAGGGAAGCCTTACAATATTAAATGCAATACGTAGATTAATATGGTAGCATGATTTATTTAATCATTATCATTCTTTGAGACCAATTACATGCAATACTATTATTACAGAAGCACTGACTGCTTAACTTGTAAGGTATTTCAGTACAGTAGCACTCGCGTGTTTGACACTGCTAGATGATAATATCAGCTATTTTGTTACAGAATAAAAGTACACATAAAAAATACAGAAATAAGTAGTCTTACATGACGAAAATCAGCTTCAAACTTAAAAGCTCCACCACCAGTGGCACAAACAGTGCTAGCCATATAAGCCATTCCTTTGGATTTAGCAAGCTGTAAAAACACATTCATGGCACTTGTAGGAAAGCGTATAAAATGCAGCGTTCCAGTGTGCCCTCCTATTACCACATTATTCATCTAAAATGAATTAAAAATTAAGTTAGAGCTGTAACAGAAAGGATTTACGATCAAACTTAATTAAAAGTGGCATATTTGTTTGAAATTTTACACAAAGACAAATACAATAAAAGACAAAAGTTTCTGATGACGTTTTACAATTTTAAAATTTACTGTGCTTTCTGAAATACTTTCATGACAATAAAGGAATCTAGCTAAAATATTAAAAACTACATGTGAAATACTTATGACGCACTGGAGTATAAAATAACTAAAAAAATGACTTATGATGCACGGGAGCATAAAATAGCTACAAAACTGATATTAAGATTCAGGGAAAAGTGCTGTGTTTCGCATCGCTTTCCACTGATGCTTTTCTGTTATCATTTAGATGTTTTGTTCCTAGAAGAGGAAGATCTAGAGAGGTTTATACAGACAACGGTACAAACTTTAGGGGAGCTTATAATAATTTGTTAGAAATTGATTAAAGGAAAAGAGCTAAGAAAATTTAAGATATTTAAAAAAAACTAAGGGCTTAGCATGAATTAAAATTTCCTTAAAAAAATTACTAAAAATCATTTATTAAAATAGAAAGTTTTAGTAAGATGTGAGGCTTTATCTATTTATTTTTGACTAATAGTTAATTCTGAGTTAAAGTAACTTTCCTGTCGCTCTCCTTTTTACCTACGCTTTTCATGCCAGAATGTAAATGAGATTGAGCGTATTTATTCAGACAAAGGGAGAAGAAGTGCTATTTAATCGAAGATTTCACGAGTTGATTCCTCAGACATTGCACTGTCATGCGCCCATGGGTCATAAGTACCATCCAGCCGGACATGTCCCGTGCTGACAGAGACATCCCGGCGATAGGGATATTGATTGATTGTTGATTTTAGAGCGTGTTCTGCCTACTTGAGGCCACGTTGTTACCGTGACTAAATAGCGATCTGATTCTGTGGCGTGGAGTACTTCCAGCCATTAAGCTTGTCTCGCTAGTTTTCTAAAAAACCACTGCCTTCCTCGCGTTACTTGGTGAGCAGTTCGGCTAATCTAACTACATTTGATTTTAGTTCAATATAACTTGTTTACGTTATGGCAGAAGTGTTGGCTTGTATAAACTCAAGTTCGGTCATTGTTATTTCTTTGTGTTCAAATAAACGGACTATTTAAGCCTTTATTCGGACTGTCTACAGTTTAAGGAAAGGTGATTATTCCTCTTTCTAGAGCTCATGAGTTTATGCTACCAAAGAAAGTGAGACTATCAGTTCAAAGAAAATTCACAAATGAAATTTTATCTGCATAAAAATTTTAACACGTGGTTTTAAGACAGATGATGACACGCAGAGTCATTTTAAATAATACTTTTACCAGTATTTTATGACCACATTACTGTATTTAATCAAAGAAGTCTCGGTGTACTTTAAGGGTAATTAAATTAAATTACTAGTTCAACAGGGGATGACAAAATTGAACCTATTTTATGCAATTTCTACCACTGCACGAGTCATAGGACCTTTAATTTGCATTCGAAACAGCTCAGCAAACAGTTTCCAGAATGTTGCCGTTCGATATAAAATTAATTATAATTTATGAAACTTCATCATTATATAAGTTTTGTAACTTACCTTTCAAATTATAACTGCTAAACAAACTTAAAGTTTTAAAAGCAATGAAGGCATTTCCTTCACAATTTAAATATTTATTTTTAATACTGTTGGAAACTGCATCTTTACATTTCCTCATCTGATATGTGGGCGAGAGTACAAACATAATCTTATGGTTTTAATTATATTCCACTTCCGTTTTAGTGACAACAGATCGAATTCCCACGTTTCGTTTTTGATTAAGAGTTTTGTGACTAATGTTCATCGAGAGGATTGGTTTTGGTTTATTTTAATTATGGCACAGCACACTAGAGCTATCTGCCTAAGGTGAGGGGTGCCTTCGTGGAGGACTTTCTAAGGGAAACTGGCTCGTATACACGTTACACATGAGGAAAACCACGAAGCTAGCCCGTTCGCGGGATTCGAACCTCAGACCGAACTACCAGTGTTCAGCGACTTTACCGCTCGGCCGCTGGTCGGCTTCATCGAGACGAAGAGAGTTTTATTTTTGTAGTAATTTTGGAATATTCTGTAGAGAAAGTAAACTAGAAAAATATTAGAGACTTGTTTATTGAATAGTATGATTTTATGAGTTTTTGGAAATGTTATAGATTAGTCTGAGAAAATGTAAATGATTCTTGCTCGTGATCGCCTTCAAATAAACGTTTGTGAATTTCGTGAATGAAATGTTTATTTTGATTTGTGCCTTTACACCGTTATCGGACAAGTACTATATATAAATGACTCAATTAAAATACATTTCATACACCCGTTTGATGATTAAGAACACTTGCAGCATCGCTGTAATTAACAAAAGATCTTTCTGCCTCCATATCTAATTAAAATATATATTAAAATCTTCCGAAACACCTTTATCAGGTGTTTTGTTGAATTCAAATTCTATTGAAATTGGCAACGTAACACGCCAATGTTCGCTATTGCATTACCTTAAAATACAACTCCCTTCATTTAATGAAGATGTAAGAAATTGCTTACAGTTTTGGGGGTCAACTCCAAAAAAATTCACAAGGATCCCAATTTGGATTTGTATGAAAAATTTCCCTATTTATCTATGTCTACAGAAACGGGTTGCAGAGGAGTTGATAAAAGTGTAAGGTTTATCCTAAGTTTTTAACAGTTATTTTGAGTTAAAGCTCTTTTTTTTCTTTAATCTCTCCTAATTTCAGATTACATTTTCCTACCAGAATGTGTTTTTAGAATCGCGTTTAATGCAAATGAGTAAGAGTAGTATTTAAGTCGATGTTTTATTGACTTTGAGAGACAGCCTCAGAGTTTCTGACTAGCGTGCGTCTCCTTAAGCTGTTACTAAGCTCGGCCGTATTGCAGGCCCTTGATAGCTTCACTAGCTAAATTCGATATTTACAGGCCACCTACTTAATTTGTGGTAGCTTCGGCTACGTCTCTTTAGTTAAGCATCAGTTAAGTTCTTATTTCTTATTTTGAGTTCAAGCCCAAGTGGAGGCTTTGCTGTACGCCCTGAGAAAGGGGCCAACTGTTCCTTCTTATTTTGAGCAATAAAGGGTAATTAACCGTTCTCGAGTCTTACGTTCCTGTTACTGAACTTAAGCGATTATTCGCTTAACTCTTCACCGGGTTCCTCCACATTTGGTTGTTAGATAAAAAAGTGGACACATTGGTGTCCCCCACATTTGGTGTTCGAAGCATTCCAGATGAACTATGCCGTTAGAAAACGAAAAATTTACGTTGACCACTCCGAACTTTCAAATCCTTCAGTCACCAGTAAACCCGATGGAGGGATTCGGATTCATCATGGAAACAATGAGAGCAGCCATGAAGCCAGCTGCAACATTCGACGCCAAAGGTTCCGTGATGACTTTCCTGGAGCAGCTGGAATTACTTTCCCGTTATATCCAGAGAACCAGCCGCAGAAAATTACTATCGCTACAGCAAACCTAAAAGGCCAAGCCCTCATTTGGTTTAAAGGAATTGGTAAGTTCCTGTTGGGGGATCCAGGATCGGAAACATTTACATGGGAAAACCTTAAAACAGCGCTATTGAAAGCATTCCCACTTTTTAAAGACCGATCAAAGCTTGAGGCAGAATTGTTTAGCATGTAATCAAACCAATTTCGATGAGTTAACAGACTTCATTCTTAGAAAGAACCAGATACTTAATTTAATATATGGAAAGAGGCCGGATAATGAACTTATTAAAGTGATTCTACCGCGTCTACTCCCGTCAATTCCGCGTCTACTCCCGCCAGATTTGGTCAACTAAGGTCAGACATAAATTTTGACGGCTAGAGTCGGCGACTCACATGTCCCAAACGTGTTTAATGAAGGGAAGGCCGGGCAATTTAGATAATTACAGGAGGGTTGCCATGTTGTGATGAAAGTTACCATCGACTTGTACCGAGTGCGGCCGAGCATTGTCATGCTCAAAAATAGATCCCCAGGAAGCCTGATAACAGCAAACCGCAAGATGTCGTTGTTGTGACGTTGGCCTGTTAGAGTAGTACGGAGGATGACTAAAGGTGATCGGTTATTATACGCAAATCACCCCACACAGTAATGCCGGGCATGATGGAATAATGCCATTCAACGGCATAGGGTGTGCAGCATTGGCCTGACCGTGTCCACACATATATGCGGCTGTCCTCTGTATTCGTTGCTGAAAACGATACGACTCAAGTCCGCTACATTTCAGGCGGCTCAGGCACGACACCACAGCGAACGTTGTAGGAGATGAGTCGGCGTTATAAATGGACGTCATAAGAGGCACCGATAACACAATACACTAGGAAGAAGAGGCTGGGTAGACCTGGGTAGCTCGAGGCTGCCTTACACAGTTAAACACCCCAACCCCTAGAAGCGATCCAAGGAGGCATAACTACCGGTCAACCTATGGGGACTTAAATGTTTCACACAGTCTGTGTTATACACCAAAAAGAAAACAAAGTTATACCTAGACATCGACCATCTTCCCAGTGTTGACAAGGTGAGCCAAACCTCCAAGGACAACCTTCGATATCTGACCATGGAGCGTCCCCACAACCAAGGGGCAGAGGAGACAATACCATATGGTCCCTGCCAAACCAGAAACTACCAGCTAATAAACGATGGTTCTAGTCACTGATAAAATTGATAATTTTTCCCCAGAAGTCGAATCTGTCTAGGTATGGACCTAGCCAGAACGCCGCCGGGATTGCTCCCAGTCGAGCCCTCGGGGGGAGAACCCATAACACAGTCGATCCTCTTCCAGTCGTCTTCTGAGCAACACTAAACCTTCCGGAGTCTGCCGTTGCCCTCTCTCTAGTCTCCATCCAAACCACGAGACCAGAGACAGCACGTTGTACAGAGAACTGTGGATCGTCGCCTATCACACCGCTCTGTGGTCTGATGGACGACGTACTGAAACAGTACATCCTTTATATAAATAGGAAGTACTAGCTGGAACCGCTGCAGACAACATTGCCTCAGTTTCATCTGTCCGACTCTCACGCCTGCAGATTCAACGGCATGACCATACTGCTTCACGAAAGACAGTAATGCAACCTTTCTAGCACTCGCTCAGTTACATGTGACCTCATCGGGTAGGTCTCTGAGACACTGTCTCCTTGGCTATGAAATTGGTCAGAATGTACACCGAAATCCCTAATTCCTCTGTATGCCGCGGTTATCGTACATTTAGCATAAATTGTTCCGGTTCCTTGAAGTAATGTCGCTGGAGACTTCCTAACAATAACAGTTCTTTGGTTGTTGTCCTCTACTGGGTAAGGAAGTGAGAGGAGGTAAAGGGGAGCAACCTTTATCAAGTGGGCATTAGCAGGCCTTCTGATTTATTGGAGTTTTTGTCTGTCGGCTTATTTCGTATTGGTGGGCCATACACGGGCTATGGCCGTTCAGTGGCTGTGCATGCTTAATGAAGTATATAGCTGGTTTTAGGGTATTTGCATGTCAAGTGTCGTTACGCTCCACCGCGTTTTCGAGGCGCGTAAATTTTTTTCTTTTTAAGTACAGAACGTATATTATCAGTTTTCCATTTTCCCTCAAATTTTACATTCCACTTCCCTTATATTTCAAAAACCCTGGAACAAAATGCATATAACCTAATTTTTCTTATTATGAAGGGTTTAAAAATTCTATTATTTAACATGGATATAAATTTACAGGCTAAAATTAAATAGTTTAAATCTGTGATAAATACTCCATTTTATTTAGAATACAAAGCTACTTTATGATCATTAATAAATCTGAAACGTAATTACAAGTACTTGCGAAAGTTTTAACATTTAAATGCCTATTACAAGATTAATGAAACATTATTTTGCAACTGCTCACTTTACAAAAACATTTTTAATTCAAGATTAGAAACTTACTTGAAGATGAACATCCCTTTTTCCTGTAGAGCCATATGCAGAATTAGATGTTAAATAATGACGTATGTTTTTCAGGGCTTCTTTTTCCAATTCCAATTCATCTGTAGATATATCAGAAGGCTCAAAATAAACCAATTTCACAAGAGTTCCACCAATGTCCATTCCAAACCAAGGCATAGCTAAAAATATTTAAAAATTTTCTATCAAAGTATTTAACAATTTAATGCAAGAACAGGATTTCAAATTATATATTTTTTGTGAATTATCTTTAATATTCCTCTCAGAAGAAAAAAAATCCTTCAGCTGAAATAATTATCAATATTAGCAAACACACACACACACACACACACACACTATACAGTGGAAAACAACAAATTTATCTAATGTAAACTGAATAGATGGATAGATGAGACGAATTTAACAGAATCCGAGATGGACATCTAACAACATACTGCTGCAAACTAATTTATACAAAAACTAGAATATTTTGCTACAAAATCATATGCTGAATTCCCTTAATGCATAAACAGTGAAAGAAAATATAAAATCTAACCAAAGACAATATTCTGCTACAAAAGAATAATATAAAAATCATATACCTATAAGAAAACTGACTAAACCCTTCTGGAGATAATGCTGATGATACTTAACCGTCTCTCATATTCTTTCTTCTTCGCGCTGCTCTATCTCATAATCGACGGAAGAAGAAAAGTCATTTGAAGTTCACTGTTCCTACAAATAACACAAAATTTCCTCAATAGATTTCAATCTTAAAACTGGGCGTCATCTTAACCCTCTATCGCCTTCTTCATCCTCTGGCTTTTTCAATTTCTTTAATCGGTGCAACACTATTACAGTCTAGAAGAACGGTCGTTTTCATTTTGCCTCATCGACTCGTCAACATCACAGTCAATAGTTTCCTTGCTGCTAGGATTTCTCTTTATCACGAATCTAAAGCTTTCTGTCTTTTCTAGATTCATTCGAGATTCAGATTCTGAACTGTTAAGCAGTTTTCTCCAGTAAAAAAACGAAGTTTGCGGACTGAAGCTCATCGAAAGATTTGGCAATCTATATGACCGCATCCAACGTGTCAGTCACACCTTGTCCTTTCTGCACAGATAAGACTAGTAGATGAAAGAAGTTTCTCAGTTTTTTTTCCTCACAAGAATACCCTGACCCGTTGGATAACAAAATGCAGTTACAGAGTGGGCTTACACAATTTTAGAACGATTTGGGAACAGTTTAATTACTGCTGAAAATGTTAAAAGTATTCTCTTTTAATGTTCGATCTGATAGCCTCTTTTTCTATACTATAAGTCTGCATCGTGATTTCCATGATAGAAGGGCTTTTCGCAAAATTTCCAGGGGTATTGATTTCCATTCCTCTTCCACTACTTTCCAAAGTCCATCAGTCGTGGTAGGTTTGATTTTAGAAAGATCTTTCTTGAAGAGAGCAACGGCACAAAAGTCCACAGAATGTCAGAGGACTTCGCAGGAATGTATTGAAAAAGGTATATATGCAATACCTGTATCGGTTTTCATTGTTTCAAGGAATGCAAACCATACTTTTGGAAATATCACTTTATATTAATGAAGATTCACTCTTTGAAAGCTATTGGGTAAAGGAATATTGTCCGGAATAAGACCTGCTTCCCAAGACACAACTTGGATTTCCTGAATTTTTCTACCGAAGAAACAAAGCGTTAATAAAATCTATCATTCAATGCTGCTACATCCATCCATGCTTATATTGTGGTAGCTCATGTACCACACACAGAGGTCAACTTATGATTCCCCATTAACTGCATACTTAATTTTTTAAATGCACAAGGACTTGTCGCCTTGTCCTCAGTTTCAGTTTGCGTTGCCTGCTGCAACACCGTACGCAAGCATGGTAACTAGCTCTTTATTTCTTTTATAGTCCAGAAGAGATTTCCCATCCACGAAAGCCATATAAAGATATAAATAAACCTCAGGGTTTTCGACCTATTAGTCTTTTGCCTGGTTTAGGCAAAATCTACGAAAGAATTCTTTTAAGAAAATTGGATCCTTATCTGGCCAAATTGCCGCCCGAACAGTTCGGCTTTAGAAAATCAATCTCCATGACAAAGCAGATTGTCTGCCTTAATGAATTTATTGAATCAGCGCTTTACAATCATCAGAAGGTAGCCTTACTCATGCTAGACGTGGTGAAAGCCTTCGACCGCGTCTGGCATGACGGGCTGATATTCAAATTAGGTGTGTTGGTGGTGTATTTAATTATGTCAAAGCACACTAGGGCTATCTGTCTGGGAGGGATGCCTTCGTGGAGGACTTTCTCAGGGAAACTGGTTCGTATACACGTTACACATGGGAAAAACCACGAAAACACCAATGCAGCCAGCCCGTTCACGGAATTCGAACCTCGGACCGAACTACCCGTGTTCAGCGACTTTACCGCTCGGCCGCACATTTCTTTCATTTAGCCAAGTTAAGGCGTGGCCTTCGAGAACAAGGCCTTACAGCCATGGACCTTATAAAAAAGGTCCATGCTTACAGCTCAGTGACGTAGAGCGCGTGACGTCAGTACAGAGAGTGTAAGCCTTCTTTGGGTTTGAGGGCAGCTTTGGGTCAAAGGTTATTGTTGGTCGCCATTGCTACGACAGAAGTGGTTGAACTCCAATTATTGACCTAAAATCTTGGTATATACTTGCTTTTTTCGCAGTTGGACACTTTAAATTTAATTTTTTTTTCAATTTGTGGGTTGTTCCACAAATAATATAATGTCTTACATGTGTTCAGTGCCATGATGTAATTGAAATTACCAATTTGGACTTAAAGTACATATTTTCGCTTTTCCTGTTGATGCAGATGTGAAAGCGGATACGTGCAATAAAACGGAAGGACTTCATTCCGACTGAAAACAGCAGGATGAGCTTTCATTACTATGATTGTATTGATATTTAAAGAAAACTTAAATAGATTAAATATTCGATACGTTTAATATGTCTGTTTTTAAAGCCAAAATGATTCCCACTGAAAACTAGTGTAAAATATAAAAAAAGTAAGCAATAACTAGTATAAAATGTAAAAGTAAACAATAAATTAATTATGGATATTACAGGATTATTTAATGTATAGTAAATTTTGTTTCAAGTATTGCTGAAACGCTGTGCATTATGAATATATATTAATAATATAGCATTAAATGATTTGTAATATCTAATTTATTTCAGTTTTATTTTTGTCATTATAGTTTTAAAGATTTAAAAGTAATAATGTTTCTCACTTAAAAATTCAAATTTGTGTGCTTCACATTACCCCCTTTTTTTAAACTTTTTCTGTCATATTTTCAAAATTATTGTGAAAATTGTAATTAATATTATATTTTTAAAATATATAAACAAAACTTGAAAACAATATTGTTACACCAGTTGCTTATAAAGCTTGCAAATTTTTTTTTTTTTTTTTTTAAATTTTGCTGTTTTAACTTCATACACTACATAACTTCGTACATGACTTCATACATTAGCAAAATGCTAAATTTTTGAAGAGCTATAGAGTATATGGTGTTTTAAATGGATACAATAAAATAAACAATTAAAAAAGATTAAATATATTGGCAGAATTAAATGTTTTTTTTGCAAGGGACGTCCGGTATCCTATACTACCATTGCACTTTCCTGATATGATATAGGCTCTACCACGTGCACTTCGGTAACGAGATGTGGGAACCTCGGCTAACTACCTTGCATATTTTAAAACTTAAAGCATAATTCTGCAGTTTGTTCCGTTCAAAATGTCATGTCTGTTAAACTTTCGGAGAATTATTATTTTTTGCCCTTTACAATTCCTTGTCGATACACATAAGTAATCCAAAGAATCAAAACTCACACATAGTTACAGGCACAATCTTTCGATCTAGAAAGCTAGGAAATTAACTATTATGTTCATAATAACTCTAATGTGGACATATCAAGATTTCGCTAAAGAGTAATATAGAATAGTAAGAATTCATATCGCAATTAAAAAAGTATTTAATAAAAACAGTTGGCAAAACTAAAGTTAAATGATTTTCTGTGACAGTTTAAAAATAGATCTTTGGTTTTTATTCTGTAAGAATCTGAATCACTGCAAGTTTAATAATTACTTTAATGATAACAGAGTTATTTACATAACACCATCTGACAGTTTAAAACAATGTTGACATTAAAAATTATCATTAAAAATAAATTTTACGTATTTATATCGATAAATAAATAATGAAATATTCCTTTTTTATATTTAGTTTATTATAAAAGATCTACACTAAAATTTGTTTAAAGAATAAATATAATAACCAAAAATGCTAGTTCTTTTATTTTATCGCCATACTGAAAAAAATTATATATTATTTAAAAACGTCTGTAAGAAAAAGTTGATTCTTGTAAAATGCTCTTTTTATTCATATTTTTCATGTTTACAAATGAATGAAAATAATATGCAATGTTTTGTTTCCAGTTCGAAAGCTTAATATTTTTGGTTTATGAAGTGTGGGAAAGTTTATCCAAACTATGGAAAATAAAATGAGACTCATATAAATAATTACTGATCATCCAGGTGAAAGTTTTATCAAGCATTAAGAAAAATAAGCTCAGATATCTGAAATCTTAAAGCGTGATATATAATAAATGTTAAGATAGTATCATTTATTTAGTAATCTCATTTACTTTACATCAAAATAACATAAAATTAGCTTTTACAGATAAATTAGAGGGCTGTGGGTCCACTCTCTTCGAATGCAGGAGAGAGGTTTCTTCGCACTCCTCATCGTGACGTCACGAGAGAGCTGGACGGCCTTGTTTCTGGAAGGGCACGGTTAAGACCTCGAAAGAACTTCGCTTATCTCTCCCCGCATTCAACTCATGGAGGTAGGAAAGGTACTTCCTACCTCCATGATTCAACTGACTTTAACCCCCCCCCCGCGTTCCCTCTTTCTACCCCATGGAGGTAGGAAGTAAGATGGAGTTGGCCTAAACAAGTTTCTCCCGTACCCTGCTTTGAAGCACCGGCGATCCCTACGTAGTGACCAAAACATTGAGTCATTTACCATTGAGTTCAATGGGATTTGACGCGTTCGGATGTAAATATTTTGTAATTACGTCGTAAATATACATATAAATGTATATATTTTCTTTTTCTACAACACTTCAGAGTCC